CACCTCAGGTCACAGAGCACACTGAGGGTCAGGAGTCAGCGGCCAACCCGAGAACTACACAAGGGTCCAATCACAACAGACTATCTGTGCCAGGATATCGAAGGATGTCAGGGTCTTGAGAGAACAGCCAGTGACGGGTAGGTAGAGAGCAGTGGGGCGGATGGTGGGCTGGAAAGCATTGAAGGGCATGATTCAGAGAAATGACACAGGACCCCAGGAGGGGCCGTCCATAGCACAGATCTCTGGCCTGTCAGTTCAGCCAAAAGCAAGCCCTTTGGGTACTTCAACTACACATGGTTCCTGAGGCACACTGAAGAACCCTAGGAGACAGTGAAGAAGAGAGACAGACAGAAGTAGTATGGCGGGGATAGGGAGGGGGAGGGGGAGGGGGAGAGCTGCCGAAGGAAACACAAACAACTAAAGGAACAGTGTTCTTAAAAATACCCACAAACACAAAGCCAGCAAGATGGCTGAGTGGGGCATGAGCAAAGGAAAGGCTGACTGGACATAGGCACTTGAGGACCTTCCATGTGTCTGGGACAGAAGTCAGACAGCAGAGGGTACTCATGAGCTAAGGGAGAGCTATCAGCACTTGGAAGAGGGCCTCTGTTAACAGTAGTGGTTCTCAACCGTGGGTCACGACCCCTTTGGGGCAGATGACCTTTTCACAGGGGTCACCTAAGATCATTGGAAAACACAAATATTTACATGATGATTCAGAACAGTAGCAAGATAACAGTTATGAAGTAGCATGGCAGTAGTTTTTTTGGGGGGCTCACCACGGCATGAGGAACTGTATTAAAAGGGTCACAGCATTAGAGAGGTTGAGACCCACTCATCTAGAGGCTCCACTGAGAAAGAGAGTGGAGGAGACTGGAGGACAGCTGGAAGGGGAAAGACAGAGACAGAAGGATGCTACTTTTATGGTGGGAAGACTGGAGTCTCTGTGCTGTGCCGATGAGTAGCCACAGCAGTGTCTGCATGTAAGCTGAAAGCTGCTTGCAAGTTTCCCGGCCTCCCAGAGCCAAAATAATTACACAGAAACTATATTATTTGTAATACTGTTTGGCCAATAGCTTGAGCATATTTTTTGCGAGCTCTTACATCTTAAATTGATCAATTTTTATTATTTTATATTTTACCATGACGCTCATGGTTTACTGGTAAAGTTCTGGGGCACATCTGTTTTCTGAGCAGCTATATAACTTTCCCCTGACTCTGTCTTCTTTCCTCCTCTATCTGCTTGGAATTTCTGCCTTGCCCTATTCTGCTAAGCCACTGACCAAAACTTACTAACCAATAAAAGCAACACATATACAGAAGGACTTCCCACACCATTTCCCCTTTTCTGTCTAAATGAAAAGGAAGGTTTTAACTTTAACATAGTAAAATTACATATAACAAAACAGTTATCAACCAAGAGTTACAGTTACAACATTTATATCTTCTTTATCTTTTATTATAACTAAGGAAAGTTTTAACTATTTATTCTTCAAACTCCATCAAAGACCCCCAAAAGGATATATTACCTAAGTAAACAGAAAGTGCATTGTAAGCAACTTCCAAACTCTAGAATTGACAGAGACATCTTGCTGTCTAGATAACTTTGCTGTCACCCAAAGTTCTTTTGTACTGTTAGGGCATCCATCTTTAGCCTACAGACCCATAGTATCCAGCAGATTTTCATAAAGTAGGAAATTTGAAGATATATTTTGCCTTGTAATGGTAAAGCTTATTTGATGCTTTCTTCTTCTGTGTTCTTCAAAATATCTGGCAGACTCTTTTATAAAGCAGGAACTCTGAAGGGTTATCTCACATTTAGGCAAGTTCAGCAGTCATTTTTCTGGGGTCCTGCATGTCCAGTTCATACAGCATGACATCAAGCAGTCCATACAAGAGCAGTTTCTTGCCCTCATACAGCATGACATCAAGCAGTCCATACAAGAGCAGTTTCTTGCTCAAATGACTAGCAAATTCCATAAGAAACTTTTTCAATGCTCATCTTCCTCTTGAAGTGGATTGGTGCTGCGAGGAGCAGATGTGTCTCATTGTTATGAGAAGTCCTACATTCTTAAAACATTCTAAATGTCATATTATGTAGGTCTTTAAAAGGTTTAAAGTTTAGTTATCTAAACTCTATATATCTAGAAAACCTAACAACATGAGTACAAGCTTGACTATTATAGATGACTATCTATTAACCTGTATTTCTTAATTATACATTACATTTTTAAATGGGCTGCACAAATACAATATCTTAATCAAGAACAGAAATATACATATAACAAAATTGACCTTAAATTTGTATCACTAGATCAAGATCCATACCAATGCAAAGTATTCATCCCTATAGCATATCCCTTTTTAACTGTAAACATTTATAAATAATATTTGGAAATTTGGGCATAGTTTTCTTCAAACTGCTTCCTGTTTTTTGTTGGGTTAAGTAATTTTCTTTTGGGGGATTCATGGAGACATTTTTTGGGGGTCTTGATCCATCAAACCACATTAATCTGGAAGGAATCCACAGGTTCCCATCCTCTGTGGAAACAAAAGCAGAACCTCTTTTCCAAAGCAACATATCCTTAGACCCAAATTTTGAAGTCAAGATACCTTTAAAATACATACGTTTGTTTAACTTAGTAACATGTACAATGAAATGTCTCTCTGTACTTAGCTCATTCACAGTCAAAAATTCAAAGAAACAAATAATATACATAATCCAGACTTTCTGTGTATTTTTATCTTTATGTGACTTATCTTTTTTACTCCTTTAATCTATGACTCTCTGTACTCTCTTATATTTACTTTTGTTGTCTCTTTAAAGACTTCACTTCTTTTTATTACTGTCTTACTCTTTTTTTTTCTCTCCCAAGCCTATATACATTTATTCAATACTGTGGCTCATTCAGAGGTCTTTTCTATCTGAATTTTTTTTTATTGCATATCTGTAATCTTTTTCTGACCAGGACCACTTCTTAAAATGCTAAGTGGTGTGGCTAGGACTAAGGCTGTTTTCCCTATTGGCTCCACCCAGTCCAACATGGAGGAGGTCTGTTCATTGCCTCCGAGACTACTGGGTGGAAGCTGTCCTCACCTTCTCAACTCTGGGTAGCACTGTGCATCATATAAACCTTTTTTATCTGAGAAAAAGCTAAATCTGCCATGTAGTGCACTGCACAGCCTGGTAATATCTCTGCGTAAGACTATGGGAAACTGCTATGCTTTCTTGCCTGTGCACACCTAGAGGACCCAATCCGGTTGCTTGCTCAGACAGGGGTGCTGAGCAGCAGGCATGCGTCAGCTACTTTCCTCCTAACCCTGAGCAGGCATACAATTACCCAAACCCGAAGTGTGTGGCTGGCCACATAGGTAAGTCCCAGTCATTTGGGCACCTATGTGTAAGCAGAAAGCAGCTTATTCATTTCCTAGCCATTCAGACCCAAAATAATTATACAAAAACTATAGTATTTACAATATTGTTTGGCCAGTAACTTAAGCGTATTTCTTGCTAGCTCCTACATCTTAAATTAACCCATTTTTATTATTTTATATTTTACCATGAGGCTCGTGGTTTACCCGTAGAGTTCCAGGACACACCCCCTGACTCCACCTTCTTTCCTCCTCTATCTGCTTGGAATTTCCACCTTGCTCTATTCTGCTAAGCTACTGGCCAAAAAGCTTTATTCATTAACCAATAAAAGCAACACAGTTACAAAAGGACTTCCTACACCAACTGCAGGATGTTGGGCCAGGGCTGGAGAAGGAAGATGCTCTGGACTGGTGCTGCAAGAGGAGCCCTGAACCCAGTGAAGAAGGTTAAGCTGGTGCAGAAGATGAAAACTGGGCAAAAGCTCACCAAGTAAAATTCGCATTGAGACACATCTTGGAGAAGCCATGGCATTTAGTCAGTAACTGAGTGGAGATTCGAAAAGACACTGGGAGTCTAGAGCAGAGAGCCACACACTGGCTTCAGCTATATACAAGTAAGTTGTGCTGTTGGGTTCACAGTCCATATACAAGAGGGTTGACTTGGATTCATGAATAGGGCCAAACGACTGTGGCATCCATGAAAGACAGTCTTTGTTTTGGTTTGAACATGAAAGAACCCCCACAGGTTCATGTTCTGGGCTCTGGGCTCCCAGATTATGGCACCGTTTTTGAAGCCTTTGGGAGCCTGTCTGACAACAAAGCAGTCCCTCGGGTGGACCTTTGTTGTCCTCTCCATGACCGCCCACCCCCACCCCATGCTGTCCATTTCCTGGTCCCCGCCAGCCTTCCCACCTTGATGGATTGAGATTTCTTTGAAATTATGAGCCAAAATAAACCTTTCTTTCCTGAAGTTGCTTATGGATGAATATCATCACAGCAACGCAATAACAGGTACATTTTCCATTTTACTGAAAGGGACTGAGAGACTTTAAAAGCTGAGGAATTGAGATGATCAATATTGAGTCCCTGTATTTTAGGTTTCTACCCTACCACCTACTTTTGCACGGCTATGAAGTGAGTGCTGTGGTTACTGAAACAAGGTTCTATTCTCTGATAATGTATTTTTTTTCACGTATTTACAAGGAAATGGCATTGCAGTCATAGATTGGACCCCATTCTTTGGGATTCACTCTCAAAACTGAATAACCGAAAGGGGCCGTTACAAATAAGACTCATAAATATCCCAGATAGTTTGTATGAATGGAGCACAAAGACTCCTGCTAACGTCTTCTTCTGTAGGTCTGGGATGAAAGTCAGAGGACTATCTTCATGGAACTGGAGCAAGGCCGGAGCAGCAGAACTGTTTAGCGACCCAGAGAACTGGACTGCACATAGCTAGTCCCCATCCCAAACCCCAAAGAGAAATGGTCTTTTCCATGCTTCCCATGTGTCGGGGGCCAGCCTCAACAAAAATACCTTTCTTCCAGAGTGGAGGCATGGGAATTTAGAAACACGGTAAAGAATATAAAGACACAAACAAAAATAATAAAACACAGAGACACATAGGATAGTATCGGGAGGGAATCTCAGTGAGTACTGAAAATTCATCCCTGTTTAATATCCAACAGCTTACTATACCCCTGATTTCAAAAGGTAGGCATCGAACAAAAGGACTTCATTGACGTACAAATTGAAAGTCATGGGTTACATTCACCACTCATGCCCTTGACTCATGCCCTAGACCAAACACTCTGTAGGCAAACCACTCCCTGGGTAGACTCCCAAGTTATTTCCATAAAGGAAACTGGAACCTAGTTGGATCCTTAGACTCTTGTTTTAGGTAGGAACCAACTACTAAGCTATTTCAGGAGCACGAGGTCTGGCAACTAGCCATACCTGTTTACAGTAGCCTTGAGAGAGCAGAACTCTGACTTACAATTAGGTAAATAGTTGTTTATCTCTGAGTTAGAAGCACAATAATCTCGAACTAAAAACAAGTCTCAAACTCTCTGACCTTTGGCCTCTTTGGGCCTCCACATTCATGTAGTCAGAACTAGCCGTAAATATGACAAACACGGGTGCATGAAGCTGCAGCTTGTTAGAGTCTGTTCACGGTATTTGTTGGTTATTGTATATAAGCATGTAGACAGCTGGTGTCACAGTATCAGCTCCCCAGGAAGCGGGGAGCAGAAAGACCACTTGAACACAAGCATTCAAAGCTATCCTGGACAACGCGGTGAGAAATTGCCCTTGAAAACATTACAAAAATACAGAAACCAAATCTAACAGTTGCTTGGATTTAGAAAACCCCATTGCTTATAAAAGAATTTTGCTCCCGAGGTAAATCTAAGCAGCGTCCACCTATGCATGCGTACAGTTTTCCATGAGCTGTTTATAAACCACACGCACTCTAATGATGCTGTGGCTGTGGTATGAGGAGGCAATAAAATCCCGAGAGGTTTAGTCTGGACCCAGCATGGCCGAAGAACATAGTACAAATAAACAAATTTGACTATCGTCCCCCTTCAGGCTTAGTGTCGTCAGTCCCCAGGCCTCCCGCAGCCTCAACCGAGTGTTTATACACTGTCGCTGTACAGTGTCCTTGTATACTAAGTGTATGCAGAGATGCCGTCATCATTGGCTTCGGAGCCCTCTCCTTTCCCCACACAGCCCTCTCCTCTGTGCATTCCTTTAGCCCAGCAAACCTCTGGCCTGCTTTCTGTCTCTCTATTGTTTGGCTTTTCTAGAAATTTCATATAAATGATACCATACAATACTTGTCTTTGATGTTTAGCTTCTTCTTCACTTAAAATACTGTCTGCGAAATGGCCCCAGTTTTACAAGTGTGTATAATTCATTCCTTATCTTTAGATCTTCACTTCGGGGGCAAGCCACTTTAAACCAATTCTGTCTACCAGGTAAAGTGTGGAAGTTTCCAGATTTGTTATTGGTGGGCTTAGAATTCCTCCACTACAGCTTACATGGACTGTCCTTCCCCCCCTCGGAACCTTGCAGTCTCTACAATCTTCTGTATTGATTTATCTGTTCTGTGAAGGGTAAGTGTTGGTTCCTGAAACTTCCCTTGCCATTGCTCAGTGTACACAGTACTGAATGACTGTGTAAAATGGATTTCTCATTAGGATTAGAGTCAAAATATTTCTTAGAAGACATTTATTTAGGCAGTGCCAACTAGTATTTATAATAAGTCACTAAAGACTCCTACAATAAATTAATAGTCTATTTGGGTCCATAAATCCTGGGATCTAGTAAGACACTCCGCAGAAGACAAGGATGACACCCTGGGGAGAAAGTTAGCTTTCATGGCTGAACAGGAAGCAAGGCTGATGCTGGCCTAGTAACCCCCATTTTCCTCTGCACCAGAAACCCCCCAGCTCTATTGAAGCTTCTTATTCTTTCCAACTTTCCCAGGTCCTGCCAGCAGGCTTGGCAGATTTAGTGTAGCTCACGACCTCTCCCACTTCTTGCTGGACACTACACTGCTCTGGCAGACACCGCCTGTGGACACTGCGCCCTTTGCTCTTGCTCACCATCCAGTAATGGACCAGCTGGCTTTTCTTCAGGGACTGGGCTCCAAATGCAATAAAGACAGCAACAGCATCAATATCCAGTGGCACAAACATATCTTGTTGAAAATCCTTGAAATCGTCCAAGAACACATGAATTGAATTTCTCCCAGCTCACATAAGAAGGACTTTAGTAAGTCAGGGCACCAAGGACAGGTTGCCACAGGATCCTGACAATCACAACACTTGAAAGGGTTGTCATTGCCCCTGTTGCAAAGTCTTACTCTGATGTACTCCATCGACAACCAGATTTTAGGAGTTCCTTCCCTTAACAAGGCCCACATCACTTGGCTGTGTATTTGACTGGCTGGTCCTGGCTATTCCTATGTCCAGGCAACTATGGCTTTGACTGTAGAGTACCACTGCAACATTACCTGGCTTGGGGTTCATTCCTTTGTCCACTTACTCAGCTGCTGAAGCGAGTGGCTGCTGGGAGCTGGAGGAAAGCAGGGACCAAGGGAGCACCGTCAGAGAGCGTCCTGATGTTCAGCCCAGTCAAGTCTGAGGACAGGGTGAGTTTTCAGCACCAGGCATTCTGCAGAAATGGACTCTGAGCTCCGGATCCCTCTCTAGAGCAGTCTCAGCAAACTTTCCCTTGCCTACAACCCTGCACCCGTGAGCCTTCCATCCGCTATCACCTGAGCAGTGGACAGCAGGGCCTTCGAAAGTCTTTCAGAGAGGTTCAAGTGTCTCCTCAAAGAAGGTCTGAGAACATTGTCCTGAATGAGGGTGAGCCTAAATAAGAAAAGAGAAAGAAAATGCTCAAACAAATATATAAATTCTGTATATGATATTCCTGTTAAACAAAATGCCCTTAAGGATACAGGGAGTATCTGTGATATATTTTTTATGACTGATTGCAAATCTACAATGACTCAGAATGCACCCTCCGTGGTCTTCAGGATGGTAAGGTAGAAAGGCAGGGACAAGAGTAAGAGAATGTAAGAGAATGCTACTCTTTTGACAACTTTTCTATACATTCAAAAACATTTTAACATGCAGAGTTCAAAACTTATTTTAAAATGCAAGCAACTGTTTATTGATAAGGCTTCAGCGCACGTCCCTGGGCATTGGCAGACGTTGACTTTCTGCATGATCTTGGCCAAGTCCTTTTGCTTTTATAGCCCTGAGTTAGCCCTTCTGTGGCATAATAATTCAATAAATGAGCTCTCCCCCTACGTTATGAAGAGTCTGTGTCCTCCGAGGTCCTACATCAGCTCCACTCCCTCTGTTCTCTCTCTTCTCAAAGCACAACTCCATATTTCTGTATCTATAGAGATGAATTCACTTACTTTAGAGGATGTTAAAATAAAGATTAAATAAAATACTGAGTGCCAAGTGCACAGTCCAAAGTAAGTCCTCCGGAAATAGCGGACTGGCTGCCTCTTTAGTCCCCTTCTGTCCCACAGAGCAGAAGTTAGCTACTTAACTAACTCTCCACAAGTCCCAGGCCCCAGGCTGTGGAGCCAGCATATACAGCCTTTGACAAAAAACTGAAGGGTCAGCACAGTGCTTGGCAAGAATCAAAGCAGAATGCTTGGGTTCTGCTTTCTTTCACTTTTTTTTCCCCCTTTTAAAACTGTAGTTTTCAAATCTTAACACACACTAGAATAGCCTGCAGAATCCCTAAGAGCACAAACTGCTTCTTCGGCCCCTCAACCCCAGAGAATTTGTGTTCCTGCCAACTTCTCAGATGGTAAAGAGGCTGCCTGAGCCCGGAGGACGACTACTTCCCCAGGTCCCTGGGCAATGGCAACTCCGTGGGAGCTTGGCCAGGGTGAGAGAAGCGGAGTGAAGGAGTCAAACCCTAGAGAGGAGATCAGCTGCATCTCCCAGAGAGGGTACCACTTTTTTCTTTTCTGACGCCAAGCGACGCTGCCCCGCCCCCACAGTCACCTGACACCCCAGGAGGCTCCGGAGGAGCCAGGAGGCTGGAACTCAGGTACAGGAAACTGTGGCAAGACAAAGGGATGAAAATGTTGCCTCCAAGGACAGAGGGAGGGAAGGGAGAATATAGAAAAGTCCACAACGCACAAGATGGGAGAGAAGTGACCGTGTAGTCCAGACTGGGTTGCTAGGAGTGTGTTCCTGGGTGGCTTGGGGAAGTGCGTAAACTGGAAGATGCCTGTGGCTGTGCTTGTCAACACCCTTGTGCTCCAGCGGAAAATGAGGTGGAAGATGAAGAATAGACAGCTTTTATAAGTGTCGGTGCCTAGCCATGTGCTAAACCCTTGGCATATCCTATCTCCGTGAAGTAGATCCGGCTGCCATTCATTCGCAGTGAGTGTGTGTAGTGTCGGAATCCGGACCGTCTAAGGTCTGGCCGCAGACCCTTGCCCCAAGCCCTGAGCCTGCATTGCTTCATAGCTTCCTGGGCTTTGTCATTTCCTGTGGGCATTGGGACTTAAAGCAAACAAACGTCTTTGATTCTCAGTTCCTCTGCCAGTAAAAGGAGTTATAGCAAAGATTCCCAAAGGAATTGTGAGGCTCAAACAATAGCAAGGGGGAACTGGTACACAATACATAAGCTGATCTATGTGTCTCAACCACCAACCTAATGACCACACTAACGGCCACGGCGTCTGGGTAGCTTTTTGAAGACATTCACTGGTCCTGAGAGACACAGAGTTAACACTTCATCTTATTTTAAATAAAGTTATTTCCCACCAGTGTAACTAATGCTTCATTACTACTAATTCTGGAGCCATTGTAGCATGGAGCCTGAGTTTAAAAAGAATTTATTTGAAGGCCAAAACATACTTAGTAGCAAATCCCTACTTTATAAATAATTTCTATTCCACATTCCAAGTTGGTATAAAAAGTTATTTTTGTTGTATTTGATTTTTCAGTGTTCGGTCTAAAATGTTTGGACTGTGGCTCTGTGTAGAGTCCTCTAACACTCATAAAACCCCAATAAGCACTCATTACTTTTGTGCCCTGCCAAACACTAGGCTGGAGAGGGACTAGGCTCCCTTATTACAGATTAAAGAAACAAGACAAGACAAGTTATAAGAAATGCTCAGATCATTTTGTAGGATGAGGGCTGTGGCCACTCCTCAGGTAGCCTGAGTTTAGGCCTGGGTCTCTGTCCTCCACCAGAGGATGATATCCACAGGACATCTGAGGACAAACACCATCAACTTTCCCATGCCCCACCACTGTCTCTTTTCTCATGTAAGTGTGTATTGGTGAGAAACTGAGAAATCCCCCCTTGAAAATGAAGGTGGTATCTGGGCTGGGAGGGGCCCTGCAAATCACCTAGGGATCCAAGGCATAGATTTTCTGAGAAGCCAAAGCACCCACCAAAACCCAGAAGGGATTGGGGTCCTGAGTACCTCTCCCAAGTTCTAACGAGAAGTCTGTGTCTAGCCACGGAATCTCGGGCAGAAGAGACTGGAGGACCAAAAGGAAGACAGTTGTCAAGGGTTGGGAGGGATTTCTGAAATGGGGAAAACTCTATAGAATTTTTCTGATCAGTGCCATGTTTAAATGATAGTTCTTCATCCCTTGAATTATAACCAGGTCCTAGAATTATCAACTATTAGAGCTGAATGTGACAGTGGTCATTTGCTATATGGAGAAGTATAGTTCAGAGACAAATGTGATTTGAGAAAACCCACCTACATTTCACTGTGACAAAAACAGAGAGTAAGTAGCATATAATGGTATGTAGTGCTGAACAGGACCTAGGTACCGTGACAGACTTTCCTAAGCTATCTCCCATAAAGCTCACAGTAGGTGAGGGCTGGGTTCAGTGAGGGAAGACTCTTCCTGAAGGCCAAATAGCTAAAAATGATAGACTCTCGATTTCCAACCAGATATGTTGGGCTTCAGGCTCATGTCTCCAACACTATCAGTTATTACATCTCAATATGAACTTAAGAAGGATTGCTGGTGGGAATAGTAGACTTATTAGGTGAGAGCCTAGGAGCAAAAACAAACACACACATACACACACACAATCCAGCCAGTTCAGACATCCTCACAAGGTTCCAGATGCACGATGAAGACATCAGCCATGACAGCGGCAGAAACGGGGTTCGTGGAGACACTAGCACATGTGTCCCATCCTCAGCTAAGACTTAGCCTGGAGGCTAACATGAAGGCAAATGCCACCAGCCACAGGACGTCCTTGGCGCCCATAGTTTATCTTCTAAAGAGAAGCCAACTGTGTGGAGAATGTTTAAGGATGTTCAAATACCGCTGTGGGCCAGAGAGACTGAACCGTGGTAACATTGACAGCTGTTTCTAAAAGACCCAGGATAGGCAAAAGTCATGTCACCTGCCAAGGGCACTTCAGTAACAATCTTCACCCGGGTCCAAGCGGGTCTTTCTAAAATGCTCAAGCCGTCGATTTCCCCCAGACAGTACTCAATCAGAGCCTCTTTAGTGACACATCGATTGTGACAGGCTCCAGAGAAGGGCCAAATGTGTGAAGTCGTGTGAATGTCACCAGGGTCCAGCAATGAGATAGTTAGAGGTGCATCCTTCAAAGCACTGACAGCTGAGCAGAAGGTATAAGGCATAGGCAGCAGTGACTGTCATAAAGGCGAACAGATGGATAACTTCAAGAGAAAAGGCAGGGTGGGTCTGAAACTTCAAAACAGATACATCTAGCTGGAAAGGCGGAGGAAGAAGGAGTCCGGAAGTCTTCCCGGAGGGGATGACAGGCCACAAGGTGGTCTAGAGAGTATTCAGGGATGTTCACTGCACAGATCAGTGGCAAAGCAGAAGCGCAGGTTGGAAGGGTACCGTTGTCATCCTACAAAGGGAAGGGCACTCACGCTCAGGACCTGATTTCATTTGTAAAGCTCACGGCAGCACAGAGAAGCAAAGACAGGACTACGCCCAGATCTTCTGCTCCGCCTTGTTATTGGCTACCCGACAGTGTCTATAATAGGAGTAGAAAAGGTACCCTTCACAGTTATTGGGGTGAATTGAGGCTGCGGAGCACATGAGTGTATATTAAAACCACATCAGTGAAACCAAGTACAAGAACTTGTCAGAAGCACTAGACCAAGAAAAGGATATAACTCCCTCCCCTAGGCCCCATAAGAAGTGGACACTCATAGCAGCAATGACAATGGCCCCATCATCTTGTCATCTGACTCCTGGTGTGTGCTTCAAAGACCAACTGGCTTTGAACTCTGTCCTGTCCCTGGGAATTGGCTCCTGCGCAGTTCACACTATTGACTCGGCCTACTCATGCTGTCTGTCTGTCTGTCAGTCTTCTTGTTTACCCATCTAGAGCCTGCCCCCTCCGTGCCTGAACCTAGGCCTGCACTTCTGCCTCTTACCTGGAATCTTCTCAGTGTCATGTCCTCAACCCTATGATCCACAGCCTGACTCTGCAGTGGTGGTTTCTTTTCTGCAGGGGGCTTGGACCCCCCATAACTTACCAATGCAGATTCTATTTACATTTCTATAGACTACTTCTGAGACCTCTTAATATACTACTTAGCCTCTTTAATCTCTTGTATCCACCATTCTATTACACAAATATGTATATAAATATGTATATACATATTTGTGTGTATATATAGACATATGTGTGTATGTATATATACATATATAGAGAGATTTACTAAGTGATATGTCTGTCATATGAAAGTTTCAATCTTAGTAATTAAGACTGAAAATTTTTAAAAATGCTTTTGCCTCAGCCAAATTACCAAGGAAAGTGAGGTAATTTGGCCTTTGAAACTGCCATTTTTGTGAATTTATTGTTCTTCAAC